GTAAAGCAAAACATTACTGTAACGCAAAACCAAACCCACTTCCTTGAGCCAAAAGACTTTCGGCCACAAAAACATGTAATGTACTTCTTCCTCCTACTTTAACTTTACGGCTGAAACCGAAGGGAGAACAGAAAAGTAACAAAACAAAGAGAATTAAATATATTTCAACTGTTTTTTTTTTAAATTTACAATCACACCGAGAGTTTACTCTCAATGGCATTTCTGTGTATATTTAATAAAAGGTTCGTGGTGGCCAATGGCAGGGTCACCAGAGGTTTGTGTTTCCTTTTAGCTTGAATTTTAGGATTAGAGTTCAATCTTGCTTCACTTTTTTTGTTCAATGCTTCTTAAGAATGAGGAACTGATGTCGACATTTGGGCTTGGCAACTTGTTTTAAAATAAAATTGATCTGTGTTGACTACGTTGGAACCAGAGTGTGAAGAAATAAAGTGATATGTGTCTTTTATAATATCACAAGCAACAACAATGTCTTGATAAATGATAATATAAAAAGGCATATTTTACTGGCACTGCTGCTGGTTAAATCACTATGTGGTAGAAACAAAGTTGATAAGGTTTGAAAATATAATCTTGACTCACCAGGACGGAATTATAATTATTTCTGACATCTGAGAAGCCTAACGAGACAACCTGCTGTGCACGATGTGACGCAATGATTCGCAATGAAAACTGCTCTTGTAAACAAGGAGGGTGATCAGGGGTTTTGAGGCCACTTTGCCTAAAAAGTGCTATGAACTGGAGGAGCTAATTATCAAGGAATTTGTTGTGAACGAGAGCTTTTGTCTGGCTGCCGCTCAGGGAAACCACCGAGAACTGTTTGTTCTTTATCTTCTGAAACCACACGAGGAACTCAACAACAGACGGGAGAAAGAGAAATGTGTCCTAACGTTAAGAATGAAACGGTGATGCTGTAAATTTTGGGATCAAGTAATTTAATTCCAGGTTAAAAACTAATACTGTACAGTCTGTGTTTCCATCCTCTTGTACGCTGTTTTCCCAATCAGCGAACAGGAAATTAATGTTCTTTTTCTGTTTTGTACAACAGGAAATAATAAACATAAACCAATAAATGTAAGCAAAACTGTTTCTTTTTTCTCCTGAGGATTTTCCCGTTCTCACTGCTGTCCACAACTCGCTTTCATGTCTTCCACTTTTTGTACGTAGCTCCTCGATTTCTGTTCACGTGTTCGCCGACAATTAAAGTGAATCTGGGGAGCATCTTTGAATGTTTCTTATTTGGTCTCTTTTCCAGTTCTCGTGCTACGTGGTGCACAGTGAGAAGGTCCTGAGCACAGAGAGGCTCGGATCACATTTCAGAGGGAGCCCACAGATACAGCTGACATATTATATAACAAATGTCTTCACAAAAATGTCAGTTGTGTAGTAAAAACACTTAAAGCACTACTCAAGATGCAGGAAACCTAAAATTAACTGGATGATTAACGACGAACTGCGTCTACTTCACTGTCAGTGGGACGTTAACGTTGGGTAATCATAAACCTATGCAGAGTACTGCTTTACAGCAAATACATACACAGGGAGATAACTGGTGACTGATGACCCGTCTGTGTTAATCATCTACTTCTTGGATATCTTCACAGTGAACTTTCCACATTATCTCCTCAAGACAACTTCAACAAATGAGTTAGATCATCACTGTCACATTAAACTAAATGGTGATAATCGCGTCTAGCTCGCCAGCATTCAGTCCTTTATTGATCTCCTGATGTACTTTGATTAAAAGGAGCCAGTCGTTACACAGACCCTAAGCCTGTCAGCGGGGCAGGAGGATCGGCTTGCCCCTTATATCCCTCACACAGAAAGTTAAACGGGACGATATCAACCCCAAAATAAAGAACAGGGAGGTGAGGTGCAATAAATATAAGAGTTTCTCAACAAAATGTTACAGTGAAGTGATCGCACTGCGTTTTACTGCCATTTTAAAAGTACGAAACATATTTTTATCGTGATTATATCGTGAATCGCGATTATTTGAGCCAGGATAATCCTTAACATGACATGTTTCTATCGTCCTTTGCCTAATAACAATGTCCCATATCAAACTAAAGTCATACATAGCTTATCAATGTTACATAAAGTTGAATTAAACTCAATTGTACTGTTTTTTCTCTTGTACACAGTGTCTATATTATATTATAGTATTTCCCTACTCTTACTGTTTTTTCTTTATCCACTTTGCTGCTGTAACATTGGGACAAATAAAGGAATATCTATCTATCTATCTATCTATCTATCTGGATAAAACATTAACATGTTCTCACAATTTCTACTAAAAAAAAAAAAAAAAGTGTTGAGTTATAAAAATAAAATTGGATAAGACTTTATCACTTTATTTTTTTTTAAAAAATGAGACGTGTCCGACATTGGAAACATTAGTCAGGAAGGACATCTGCTGCTTTGGTAAGCTGCAGGCTAACGTATGTAGCCACCTAGCCTCAGTGGGATGGGACGCAACTGTCAAAGCAGTTAATTAAAAACACAAATATCTGCCTAAATAAAAACAGAAACTGCACTGAAACAGAGTGTTTACCGCCCCCATACATTATTCACCCACCTCGTGTTGCGTTACCGCCGGCCTGCACAACCTTTACACAGTTACCTGACCTCTGTTAGCATGTGGCCTGAACCGAGGCCTACGTTGAACTCGAGCTTTATGCAACCAGAGTCCACAAAAAAAAAAAAAAAAAACGTTACGAAATAAATAAAACCCGTGCAGTGTTTGTTTAATACCTTCACGCAGTCGATGGGGTACATGAGGCAGTGCTCCATGACTCCGGCCACGGATCCAGCCAGCATGTGGGTGCTGGTCGCGACTCCCTGAGGAAGACCTTCGTACTCGATTTCTGCCTCCACAGGGGTCGAGGTCTCCGGGGGGGCTCGGTGCAGCACCGGGGTGAAGTCCGGGTCCATTCTCGGCGAGAGAGACCCGACGAACCCCCCCGTGGCGTCCAGGAGCCGTCCGCCGAGCCATACCCCGGCTGCAGCGCCGGAGACCCGGCTGTCTACGCCCGGTGCTTCCGCGGACGTTCGCCGGGACACGAACCCGTCCGCTTCCATCCAGCAGTCGGAGCGGTTTTAAGTCCGTTTGTTCAAAGTGAAGCCTTTAAGCGACCCGCCTGTTGGTGGAGTCTTCCCGGTGGTTTAACGACTGTCCCGGCCGACCGGAGGAAGTCTTGGCGGGGCGCTGCAACTGCGCGGCAGGCAGCTGTGTGGAGAGAGTCCGGGAAACCGGGAGTCCGAGGCGGGCGGGACTCCGGTGGGTTTGTCGGCGAGTCACGCTAGAAGCCGAAGCTGATTGGACGAGCTAACTGCCAATCACCAATACTCGTTTTTGATTGGCCAACAAATGAGGCGGGCACATGAAGTGGGTGGTGCGTTCAGGGTAAATGGGTGTGGACGATTTTGTAACGCCGTGAGGTCACGTGTATGTACGGGAAGTGTAATAAACTTTATTTACCTTGTGTTATTTATTTAATTTATTTACCTTTGTTATTTAATTTATGTTCACCTGTTTGTAAATCAATTTATTTTTTTAAAAGTTGTAATTGTAACCATAAAAATATAGTAAAAGTAAAAGATATAACGTAACTTTTCCACTTCCTTATCTGAATTTATTAAAAAGCTGTTCACACAGTTTAATTTAACACAAAAGTTACACAAGATATAAGTTTTTTTTCTTTACATATGATACACTCTCATGTAAACAAATAAATTGCAAGTAAATAAAATGAATGAGGACATTAACATTGTCCTTAATGAGCAGTTGTTAAGGACATTTTTAGGATAAAGGATTCAAGGAGGGGCAGTAAGGTACATATAATTCACTGTAGAAACTACACAAGTCACTGTAAACTCATTAAATTCCCTCCATTGTTGACAAGCTTTCAAAAAGAAACTGTGCTCTACTAAGAGAAAGCTGTTTTCTAATACTGACATTTGAGCATCAGCCTATCAAATGAATGTCAGTGTATGATTTTGTGTCATGAAACTCAGGCTGACTAAAAGGTTCTTAAAGTTCGTAAATAATAATCTGTACATGTTGGAAAATATGTTGCCTTCAGGTTCTTCTATTGACCAAAATATGACACAGAGGCCTCTGATCAGTCAATAAGAGATAGATAGACAGATAGATAGATAGAAAGACAGACAGACAGACAGACAGATAGATAGATAAAATTAAATTGAACTTATATTCCTCATTCCAGCATCCTTTGCACTATTGTCTACAGATGTTATTGTTTATGTTTATATTTATAACTGTAGTAGTTTATGTCTTTTTTGTTGCGCTTGTTGTTTATTTATGTTGTTTATGTGTTTGTACATTGAGAGCAACGTTAAAACTGGAGTCTGATTTTATTTTCTGTTAATATGTGCTGCTTGGATTCATTGTTTAACATCAGTCTGTTTGTTATTTGAAGAAGCTGAATAAAGTTCTTCTGAAGCTTCAAGGCTTTAAATCTTCTCTCAAAGGGACACTGAGTGAAGGTTAACCAATATGATTCATAAAAACTTGATTTATTTGTGTATGCACCTGATCCTGTGATGTATGATTAAGCCATGATGTTTACAAGGGTTCTTCTTAACTTATGCCACCAATGAAACACTAATAATAACTCAAATATAAAGTACAAACTACAATGAGATGTATCCTGATGCAGCAGAAATATCACACAGACTGTAAATACTCAATTAAAGTCCCTAAACTGTGTGCAAATGTTCTTTAATCACATTTAAATCCATAGCTGAATGAAGCCTGTGGGAATACTGCTTCCTTCCTGATGAGTTTATTCCCACCGTCCCTCATCTGACCGGCAGGTGGCGCCAGAGTCACCACCAACTAAATCCCAGACGTCTTACGGATCATAATTAACAATTAAATGTAAAAATAACCACCAATAACAGAAGCGCCCCCCCCCCAGGAGCCAGCGGGGAAGCCTCCTGAGTGAAGCCCGCCTGTGCGTCGCTTCACCCCGGCCGCCGTGTCCGAGGCGCCCTGAACGAGGACTTGTTGAGAAGATGGAGAAGCGGGTGGAGGTGAAGATGTCTGGTGGATGCTGAGGAGCAGCATCATCATCATCCTCCCATCCATCCCTCCTCCCACAGCAAGTAAACGAGTCAACATGGCGGCGGTGCAGCTCGCCCTGTAGCGCCTCTGAGACTCCGGATCAAACCCGCACAGGTACAGAGAGCATGCACGGTGTATGGGGGGGGGGGGGTCCCTGCAGCCTGCGTGCTTTTATTTCACATTTCAGAGGATTTATGCCTCAAACACAGACACACATGCTGAGTAGTGTTCACCAAAATAAAGCTACAGGTAAATGTTTGTTATATAATCAGAGTATATCCAAACGGAGACGGAGGACGCGTCTTTTATTCTCTTTTATTCTTCACTGAGTCAAACATCTCTTCTGCTTTTTCCTCCTCCTCCCTTCCTCTCTCTTCTCAGATTAAATGGCGTTCATGTCCCGGTTCTCCCGGTCCCGGAGCAGCTCCAGGTCTCCGAACCGAAAGGACTCCGAGCGCGCCTCCCCGAACCTGAGCGTGTCGGAGCTGGAGCGGCTCCTGTGCACCGGGAAGACCGCCTGCAACCACGCAGACGAAGTGTGGCCGAGACTCTACATCGGAGACCAGTGAGTTCACATCGGCCTCAACTTCAGCTGAAGCTCTGAAACACATTTAAGTTTAACAGCTGATCTCAGAACTGCATCCAGCTCCATGTTGACTCACTCTACTTTATTTGATATATTATATAGTTAGTGATAAAAACAGAATAATTATAACTCTATCATAAGTACTGTTGCTTTTAATACTTTAAGTATAGTTTCTGATAATTCATTCGTACTTTTTAAAGTTAGTATTTTACAGTAACTAGTAGTGTAACTAATTACTAGTAAATTTCAGTAATAATATTACAGTTACCCCCCCAAAAATAGTTAGAAACAACCTTTCTTTTGTTGTAAAGTTGTTGTAATAATCTGAAATCCAACAATCCAATCACACCCTTGGATTAATGTTTGTAATGATGGAGGAAACTATCGTTATTACTGTTTGATTTTAACAAACAAAACTGGATTTTAATCGTTAAAAGTCAGACTTTTGGGAAGAAAAGAGACAGTTGTCAATTATTTGAGGAGTAGCAGAAAAAGTAATAGTAGTGTAACTGATTACTGCTGGCAGGGAGTAATAGGCTAAGTAAAGTAATGATATTAGAGTAGAGTAATGAGTAATAAATCAGATTACATACCACCAAATAATCTGGAATATGAGCCAACAGCCTTTTGTATATTAATAAATATTATATTGCCATATTTAGTTATCAGTGATGTTCGATGTTAAGCTGCCTTTTTTCAGATTTTATGTGTATTGTGGACAGTTTTCCTAAAATTAGACCTCATATATATATATAATATAATATCAACTGAAATATATTGAATCTTAACCCTGTGATCGCTCTCATTGATAAATGTTGCAGCTGGTAAAGGTGGACTTCATTACTTATACTGCTGAGTAGCTCATCAGTAATTATAATAACTATATAATCAATTATCAGATTGTTTTTGTGTTAATATGAGTTTGAAAAGTAACTAAAGCAAATAAATGTAGTGGAGTAGAAGTTTAAAGTAGCATAAAAAGCAAAATACCTCAACATTGTCCTCAAGTAAATGTATTTAGTGACACTCTTAATTTTAACATTAAGATATAAAATGTTACTGTAAAAGTTCCAAATATCTGATATCAGGCTGTGAACGTCTCTTCTCCTCTGCAGAGATATCGCGTCAGACCGCCGCGAGCTGGCCAAACTCGGCATTACACACATCCTGAACTGCGCCCAGAGCAAGTGGCGCGGTGGAGCCGAGCATTACGCCGGGATGAACATCACCTATCACGGCATCGAGGCTCACGACTCGCCCAGCTTCGACATGAGCGTCAACTTCTACCCTGCAGCCGAGTTCATCCACAAAGCGCTCACAGGTGGAGGTTAGTCTGGGAATATTTAACACAATGCAGGTTTTAATTATTGATAATTATTCATATTGTTACATGTTTGTTTGTTCTAGATGGTAAGCTGTAAAGAGTGAGCATCAGTACAGCTAAACTGCATAGCTTCAATAATATATCAATAATGGTGAACCTGCTAACAAACAGTTGATTGTTTACATATCGAGCAACATTATCAGTGATTTAGAGCCACGTTTGTGTCCATCTGATCAATGAAAGTCTAATATTCTCTCTCTTTAGCTCTGTGACTCCTAACAGAAAGATCTGTCTCTTTAGCTGCTAAATGCTTCACTATGTTCACCAGCTAGTCTCTTACTTAAGGTAATGTACAGTGAGTTGTTACAGCTCTTTATCTGAAAACACAACGATATGAGAATGAACCAAACAGTTAACGGCTGAAATGTGCTCGATAAAGAAGAGATGAGGTCCAGATTTATCTGATAACTCGGAAAATATCGATTATAGAGAATTATATAGGGAAAATAAAAAAATACGTAACAGAAGTGTATAAATACATGTGAAACAGAGCAGATTTAAGGTAGTATTGTGTGTGTGTGTGTGTGTGTGCAGGTAAGGTGCTGGTCCACTGCACTGTGGGGGTGAGCCGCTCTGCCACCCTGGTCCTGGCCTACCTGATGATCAGACAGAACCTGACGTTGGTGGAGGCCATCAAAACGGTGAAGGACCACCGAGGCGTCATCCCCAACCGAGGTTTCCTCCGCCAGCTCAACGGCCTGGACGGCATCCTGAGAGAAAGCCGCAAGACGTCACCGCAGAGCTGAAAACGCCCCCCCGCCCGCCCCGCCCGCCCCGCCCTCAACAAACACCCGAACAGGTAGCAGCTACACCGAGGGAGGTAATGGGACCAAGTTAGGATCAACCTGTGGGTGTCTGACACTGTGGCGTTGTAGCAGCAGGGGATACACACAGTCTGATAGCTTCAGACTCACTTATTTGTTATTTATTTGTTATTATTTATTTTATATTGTTGTTTATTTGTGTTTGAGGAGAGCACTGGACTGTAAGACTCTCCAGTGAAGCTCATATCCTTCTATCAGGAGGAGGACCCGCTCATATATTTAACGTCAGATGAAACTTTCAGCCCGTTAATGAAGAATTAATTGAAGTGTAGTCTCGAAGGGATTTACAATCAATGACTCCTTTTATCCTGAAAGCACGGTCACACCACAATTTAAAACAACTCAAGTTTGTGGCAAAACAAATACTTTTACATCGAACTAAAACCTAAAACTAAAAGGACTAAAACCTTATGTTTGACCAACTCCAAAGGAAGCTATCGTAGCTTTAACTGCAGCATTTTATTGAACCTCCCATATCTGTAGTATAAACTGCTGCACAAAAGAGAGGGATGGTTTTCACTCAGTTCTGAGTCAAGAGTCCAATATCAACAAACTGTGTGAAGTTATTGATCAGTTAGCAATCAAGCTAACGGCCAACTGACAATAAACATGCTAACTAATCAGCTTCTTCCCTCCGTTCAATAACTCAAAGTCCAGTAAAGAGAAACGTATCAACAATCTCTGTGAGTTCAGCTTCAACAAGCTTCTAGATCGTGGATGACTTCCACTTCCTGGTGTGACCGACTCGAGACCCTCAACACCAATCAGGAAAAACCTCCCCCAAAAAGTTAATAACAACAATATATAACAATTACTCAAGAATATAAACTTATAGCTTTATTGAAAATGGTTCCTCAGATACATCTGAACGGTCACAAGATGATGGAAGAAACGTATTATGTTAATTATGACAATTTTAAATCTTTGCTTATTTTCTACTGAATACTGAAGAGTTGTATTTCTTCAGACCTCTTCATATGGACATCACAGCGGTCTAATCACGTCTGCCTCTCAAAATAAGGTCAAACTGACTGAAATATAATTAAAATCAGAACAATCACAGACGTTTCTGGTCAAAGTGATCAAAGGTCAAAGACACACTCAACCTGTGACTATAAGCAGTCAATACATTGCTTATAAAGGGTCACAAACAGGTTGGGAACCGCTGGTTTAGAAGGTCTTTGCTTATTGAAACTCATATAAGAGTAAAGTCCACTCTTTCCACTTTTTAATCAAACTTCAGAGCATTCCAGAAGACTTGAACCAGATGTTTTATCGCCACGGCACCTACAGAAAAGTAGAAAAAATGAAAGCTTTCTGGACAGAATCAGTGGTCGGTAATACGCAGCAGGAATATCTAATCTCTGCTGCACTTCCTCCTGTTTTAGTGTTAATAACATATATAATGTGTGATTACTGCACGCAGAAGAAGATGAGTCCACAGACGTATTAAAATGAGCTGAATTATACTGGAAGTACAGGAAATAAAGTCTCACTGGTCAATTTCAGAACCAGAAAATCCTACAGAACATCTCACTAACAATGTTTCAGTCCTCAGACCTTCAGCAGCTTTTTATCTTTTATTTTTACTCCTAAAGAAATGCTCAAACTGATCGTCAATGATCAATTTGATGTTCTTGTATGTACAGT